ACCCACACTCACACTCACACACATACCCACACTCACACTCACACACTCACACACACACACACTCACACACATACCCACACTCACACTCACACACTCACACACACACACTCACACTCACACACACACATACCCACACTCACACACACACACACACATACTCACACTGACACATGCACACACACATACTCACACACACACTCACACGCACACACGCTCACACTCACACACACACTCACACACATACCCACACTCACACACACTCACATACTCACACACACACATACACACACACTCACATACACACTCTCACACACACACGCCCTCACATATATGTATACACACACACAAACACTCACACACTCACATACACACACACTCACACTCACACACACACACTCACATGACACACACACACACACACAGACACATACACACAGATGCAGACACAGACACAACCTCACACACAACTCAGGTACTGTGGCCCACACCCCTCACTGTAACACTCTCTGATATACTCCACACCCCTCACTGTAACACTCTCTGATATACCCCACATCCCTCACTGTAACACTCTCTGATATACCCCATACCCCTCATTGTAACACTCTCTGATATACCCCATACCCCTCACTGTCACACTCTCTGATATTCCCCACACCCCTCACTGTAACCGTCTCTGATATACCCCACACCCCTCACTGTAACACTCTCTGATATACCCCACACCCCTCACTGTAACAGTCTCTGATATACCCCACACCCCTCACTGTAACAGTCTCTGATATACCCCACGCCCCTCACTGTAACTCTCTCTTACCAAATTTTTTATAGATGCACCATAGAAAGAATCCCATCTGAATGTATCCCAGCTCGGTACAGCAACTGCTCTGCCCAGGACTGTAAGAAACGACAGACGGTTGTGAACACAGCCCAGTCCATCACACAAACCAACCTCCCATCCACTGACTCCATCTACACTTCCCCCTGCCTCGGGAGGGCAGCCAACATCATCACAGACCCCTCCCAGCCTGGTTATAATCTCTTCCATCGGGCAGAAGGTACAAAGGTTTGAAAACATGTACAAACAGATTGAAGAACAGCTTCTTCCTCGCTGGTATCAGCCTTATGAAGGGACCTGTCATACATTAGAGTTGATCTTTCTCTGCACCTTCTCTGTAGCTGTAACACTATATTCTGCATACTGTTCTGTCACCCTGATGCACTTATGGAAGGTTGGATTTGTCTAGTTAGCACGAACAATGATATTTTCCACTGTATCTCAGTATATGTGACAATAATAAATCAAATTAAATCATACCACAATATATTGATGCCATGGACTGATGAGCAATCTTACAGGAATCCTTTAACCATCTGAGGAAGAAGGTGGGAGATGGGGGCACTTGAGAATGGTAGTTAGAAAGCCTTGCTTCGCATGCAGAGTACCTGAGCAAGACCACACCTTGGAGTAAAGTGCACAGTTCTGTCTAAGCAACAAACCTTTTGCCATAGAGGGATTACAGCAGACAGTTGCCAGAATGAGTTCTGGCTAAGCAGAACAGTGTCTTATTGTTTATTCATATATGGGACATGGGCTGTCGCTGGCTGGGCCCAGCACTTATTGCCCCCTGTCCCTAATTGCCCCCTTGAGAAGGTGTTGGGGAGCTGCTTTCTTGAACCGCTGCAGTCCATGTGCTGTAGGTAGACCCACAATGCCCCTTAGGGAGGGAATTCCAGGATTCTGACCCAGCGACACCGAAGGAACGGCCGATATATTTCCAAGTCGGGATGGGGAGTGGCTCGGAGGGGAACTTGCAGGGGGTGGTGTTCCCATGTATCTGCTGCCCCTGTCCTTAAAAGTAGAGTCGCAGGTAGACAGGGCGGTGAAGAAGGTGTTTGGTACACTTGCCTTTATTGGTCAGTGCATTGAGTATAGGAGTTGGGAGGGTCATGCTGCAGATGTACGGGACATTGGTTTGGTCTCCCTGCTATAGCAAGGATGTTGTGAAACTTGAAAGGGTTCAGAAAAAAATTACAAGGATGTTGCCAGGGTTGGAGGGTTTGAGCTACGGGGAGAGGCTGAATAGCCTGGGACTATTTTCCCTGGAGTGTCAGAGGCTGAGGGGTGACCTTATAGAGGTTTATAAAATCATGAGGGGCATGGATAGGGTAAATAGCCAAGATCTTTTTCCCCAGGGTGGGGGAGTCCAAAACTAGAGGGGCATAGGTTTAAGGTGAGAGCGGGAAAGATTTAAAAGGGAGCTGAGGGGTAACTTTTTCACACAGAGGGTGGTGCGCGTATGGAACGAGCTGCCAGAGGAAGTGGTGGAGGCTGGTACAATGACAACATTTAAAAGGCATCTGGATGGGTACATGAATAGGAAGGGTTTAGAGGGATATGGGCCAAATGCTGGCCAACGGGACTAGATTAAATTGGGATATCTGGTCGGCATGGACTGGTTGGACCGAAGGGTCTATTTCCATGTTGTATACCTCTCTGACTCTCAGAGTGTAATGATGACTGTGAATCCATTGTGGATTGTCAGAAAAAACCCATCTGGGTCACAAATGCCCTTTAGGGAAGGAAACAGCTATCCTTACTTGGTCTGCCAGACCCACAACAATGTGATTGACTCTTAACTGCCCTCGGGGCTACTGGTAGTAAATGTTAGCCTTAGCCAGTGACGCCCTCTTCCCATCAATCATAGCATCCCTACAGTGTCGGAGCAGGCCATTCAGCCCATCAGATCTACACTGACCCTCCAAAGAGCAAACCACCGAGACTCACCCCCTACCTTATCGGCATAACCCTGCATTTCCCATGGCTCACCCATCTAGCCTGTACACTACAGGGTAATTTAGCACGGCCATTCCACCCTAACCTGCACATCCCTGGGCACTATGGGGTAATTTAGCACGGCCAATCCACCCTAACCTGCACGCCTTTGGACCGTGGGAGGAAACCGGAGCACCCGGAGGAAACCCACGCAGACACGGGGAGAGTGTGTAAACTCCACACAGACAGTCGCCTGAGGGTGGGATCGAACCCGGGTCCCTGGCGCCGTGAGGCAGCAGCGCTAACCACTGAGCCATCCTGAAGGAAATAGGAAAAAATCACAGCATGCTAGCAGAACAAAACACCACCTCCAAACTAATCAAAAATAGAACCAGAGCAGTTCACATTTGAAAGTTGCGATTCTGAAACAGGGGTAATATAATTTTCCGATCAAAGTCCCTATGCACCGGAAAATCAAACTGCTCAACCATTTCAGTTGGAACTAAAGTGGCAGCATTTAAAATTCAGATAAAATGCTGCACATTCCTCTGTCTCAACACTGCTAAACATATTCTTAAACGCATTATCTTCTCAGATAACACACTCAGCGAAAAGTAAAATTTACCTGACGAAATTGACAGACTGTCGCTTAAGCCTTTTACAGAGAAATCGTATTAAAGTTACACTTCAGACTAATCTCATTTGGAATTCTTTCGTTTCGCTTAACGAGTGGAATAATTTACGGGCTATTGATAAAAAGTTTAACACAACCAATATAACCGAGCCGGAGTTCAAAAGTACAGACGCTTTCGGACGGGGTGGTGTGGTGAATTAAAAAAAGGAGTTCCTGTGGCCGGACATCAGAGTGGAAATGCCACCTCGTGCCAGAGAAGGTGGCATCTGGGTTTCGCTCGCACTGGGATTCACCGATTGGCCGGTCAGATTGATCACGTGATCTTCGTCCAGGAGGGACGGACCTCACCCCCAGAACCGAAGGCTCGCCAAAACTCTTGGGCCTGCGACTGAGCACATGCCAGGTTCTAGCTCACCCCCTTTGCCC